TCAGAGGTCCTGTGACAACAAACTAACTCTTGTTGTGACTGCTCCTTTGATGAACTCTGGGAAAAGTCGGTGGGGGGGGGGGGGAATGCGGGTCATTTTCACGCTCAGTATTTAAAATATTACTCTGATCAAACACTTTTTTGATTGATAAAAGGAAAAAAAAAGCAATCAGGCTCTAAATATAACACAGCATGTGTTCTGAGAATCATTCACTCTGCCTTTTGCAAAGTTTCCGCATCCATTCCGTCCCGTCTATATCTGCCAGACGTGGAAAGAACACTTTGCCGCTAAGCGCCATTTCCATTTGTTGTCCATTAGGGCTGTTTGTAGTTGTTAGTGACATCTCAGTGGGTGCTGCTCATACGCTGAAAAACTGCACAGCCTCCCCACTCTCTGAATTCGTTCCCTCGGCTTCGATCTGGAAATATCTTTGCATCTTAAGTCGAGATAACATCCTAATGGTTTGTGCCGGATTCACTACATTAACAGGGCCTCGCAGAGAGACGTTAATTCCGAAAAACAAAACTAAAAAAAGAAACAGTAAGATGCGCTGCCATGGGGTTCAGCCACACAATGTTAATTAATTTCACTTGTAGCTCGAACAGCCCTATCTACAAACTCGCTGATCATGTGATTACAGAGAACAAATGGCAGCAGAAACATGCCTATGATGATGGGCTGATAAACACATCGGATTGTCTCTCCTGCTGCTCCTTGGAGGCGATACACTGTATGCCTGTGGAGTAACAAGTTTGGCAGGTTTTTTTTTTCTGTCGACTCAGCAGAGTGAAACCGCACACGCGGATAATAATGTAGGTTACGAGTGTGTTTACAGTAAGCAAGCTTTGTGTGCATGTTTGAAATGTAAACATGAAATATTCAAATTAATCAAACCGCCTTGCCTCACTTTGAGATCTATTACGTGCTGAAGATGAGGCGGTAAAACAAACACAGTCAAATGTGTCGACGGGGTGAGGCCCTCTGACAAGATCGCTGACAAACTGCCTGTGTCGGTCTGTTTGCTGAGCTGAAGCAGCAAAAACTATTTTGGGGGGGAAAAACGTAGCAGAAAGAAATGAGTAAATCAATAAATGAATCAGTCATATCACTGCGGTTTTACGGGACCTGACAGTGGATAAAGCCTCAACAATATGGTCAAAGGGTGATTACCTTTTAATCTCCGTGACTCTGGATTAATCCTCATACAGAGTGCACATAGATTCTTCGGTGGGCTTTGGGTACCATTTCCACAGCATTATAATGGCTTTAACTGTTTTTTTTTTATTTTCAAAGTAGTTAAAAGAAAGCACACAGTTGAATTAATGCCCTGTCATTTTCCTATTGCAGCACACATTGTGTTCAGACAGCAGTTTGGGTGTCTGGGAACATTGAGGGTCAGCGGCTTGCCCCAGTAGCTGGTCAAAGGCATTCTTATGCAGACTTTTCAAGATTAAAAGTCAAATGATGCTATGTTGAGAGGGTATAATCATGAAATAAGACGTGTTTTTACTCACTGCTTCCATAAACATGTCGTAATTACTCAAGTTGGCCACCAGGGTGAAGGGATTATGTCAGAGATTTACAGCCCAAATGGTAAGAGTCAAAGATACACATCAATCCTCTCCGACAGTGTGGTGCCACGGTGCTGGAAATAGTCTGCATGAGCTGAATGAGGATCAGGAAGTGATCAGCCATGCAGGCGGCCCGAGGTTTTAGGGGTGAAAATCACACTGCCAGCCCACCCCAAAATTACACCCAGCAAGCACAAGAGGAAGGACACAAAAATGGACATTACCCTTCACAAAGCACAGAGATAACAATGGAATTTAATAAAACTTTGTGTGGTACAGAAAATAGACTAATCCCCATAAATCTTCCATAATGAGAGAGAAGAAATCCTCAGACTGTGATAGTTCCCCTCCCTTCACCCAATAAGATTTTAGGCTTTCCACAGGATTCCACTAGCTTAGCCGCAAATCGCCTCACTGCTGTGCGATACGGCCACATCCTCTAAGAATGGGGTGAAACACACGATCTGGCACATGTGTATGGGCACAAAAAACACTCACAAATCTTATTTGACTTTGAGTGATGCATCCTGGAGAAATCCAGATTGCTGATGTTTTTTATTTTCCCCACAAGGAGAGTAAGCTGGTGATGTTGCCATGAATCAGGCTATCAGCCCGGCCAGGGACAGGCCATGGAAAGCCAAGGAGATGAGGGGCAGGGAAAGATGAAAGTCTCAGAGACAAATCCTCTCGGCCCAATGGCTTGCACAAACAGTAAGAAGCGTGAGCATCTGGCTGCCGTTTTCGGAGGATGCTTGTTATTCTAATCTACTCCCTAAGGCCATGATGCAGACTTTTAGATATTAATTCGCATAAGGTGAGGTAAGACGGATCATCAGAGGACTCTACAACTGACCCTGATCTTTAAAATGAATGATTACGGACAAACAAAGTGAACGGCCAAACAAGAGCTCCACACATTGAGCCCTTCTCTTGCGGACACGCGAGAGCTCAGTGGAACGACACACTTGCATATCTCCCCTAGACCGACGGGTGTAAACTGATGGCCTAAATTAATCATGTTTAAACAGACGGATGTGATGGCATCACATGAAACCATGACTCCTCCATATGTTACCTGTTTGGAGTAATGTTGGTAAACTGACTAATTACAGTGCGCTCGGATGAAGCTTCTCTCTCAGCAGCTGTTTGTCCATTAACCTGCCGAACAATTACTTTAACATCGTTTGAAATATCGCGCATTAACATTGCCCTCTTTGGAATGGGGAGAACAACCTTGCACAGGCCTAAAACTACTAAGTGTCTTGATTTTGCCCTATAAATAAAGTCTCTGCTCATTTAGCCAATTACTGCCTTTTTACATCAGCGTTTTCTTTAAGTCAGTGTTAATGATAGTTGATGCCTTTAGCAATAAGAATATTGACCACATGGCAAAAACATGTCATGATGTGACTTAATGCAAATATGATCCAAGTTGCGGTTTGTTAATGTAAGTAATAAAAAAGAAGAACGGGTATTTTACAAATGTCAGCACACCATCACTTCTGTTGCAACTGTTGCTTTTCATCAGCTTTACATCTGATGAGTAAATGCCATCAGCTCATTGACAATGTTTCAGACGTGTCCTAAAGCATTCTGTCTATTAGCAGCCAGACTGCGTGTGGCTCCGTTCATTTGGCTGAATCATTTTTTCTTTTTTTCATTTGCTTGTTCTGAATAACTTGTGTAGTTTTATCGAGTTATTTTTTTTCTTCACGCAGGCTACCTCTTTGATTTTTCCATTTAAACCCTAAATGTTGCGGGTAATGATTTACCTGTAAAAGGGAAAACACATTTAGTCGAAAACAGAAATTTATTTAATCAGTCATCATGAAAAAATTACTTAACAATTATTGCCGTTGTTTTTTCAAAAACATTAATGTATTTTACACTAGTAATGTTTATACCAATAAAACATCTAAAGTGCCACCCATAATAGTATGATAGTGTGGTCATTTTAAACATAAATATCTGCTCATGACAGACAATTATTAGCGGCTTTGTGTGTTAAATGTAGTGTTAGTGTAAAAAAAAAGGTGTGTAAAAATGCTGATCGTAGCTGCTTTTTTTAATACAAATTCAGAAAGCCTTCAAATTATAAATGTAAAACACATCAGCACATCCTGAGAAAACATGTTTGCATTTATCTTTCAATGAAATATGAATGATGCTGAATGAAATGCCCTTTTCAAACAGTCTGATAAAGGTTTATTGAAGGCCACAGTGAGCAGGATAAAGGTTGCCATGGCTACAAGTGTGAAAAGGGCATCTGATCCGACTTCTGACCAGTCAATTAATCTTGCAACTGCAATTTTTTTTAATCAAAGGCTTGCCCATGATTCAAAATTAACTGCTTCAGAAGGAAGGACACGAAAAAAAAAAGAGAAATTGTGTGGACTCTGAAAAAGTGCAGTAATGCTGCAGTCTTAAGATTAAGAATGCCACAAGGGAAGGGAAGAGGGGTTAATATTTAAGATGGATTAGTCTGAATATTTGTTTAGTCTCAATGTGAAATGGAATAGAAAACCGTTTATTCAGCAAAGCAACTTATGAAGTCTTATAAAGATTTTTCTCATTATTTTACATGTGAACAAATGTAATGCCATGCCCTCCTATAGCTTAGAAATGTCAGAAATACATGATGAGGACTCAAAAATTCATGAGATGAAATCCTTCTTTGAATGGCTACTATCTACATGAAATTGGTATTGGTGAAGTAAGGAAGAAATGAGAATGCGTGGCCTGATACAAAAAGACAACCGTCATTACTTGGGATTAACAGGAAGTGACTGAAGTGTGTTGACTCTTTTGGTAAGAAGTACGCTCAATAAAGCTGTTTATGTTTTCTATTAAAAAATGTGTTAAATGAAAAAATAAAGTGTAAAGAGAAATTACAATAAATTACATTGAGATTTAGTTTAGCAGTAGGCAAAACAGGGTGTTGCGAAACATCTCTTTGAAATTGCATGTTCATTGTATAACCTGAATCCCTGTTTTATTCTTGGTGTAATAAATTACTTAACAGGAACAAAGAAGCCAAGCATTGTTGAATTATAAGGCTTTGTGAGAACTAAATACACCAACACCATCATTAATATATATGAAATACATAATTCATATGTCTTTAAGTGCACTTATATTATTGTTATCATGTGTCAACATGTTTGACTGCAATTGGCCAAGTCTTATATTTATATTATTTTAACTGAGAAGCTGGCCAATAAAGCAGGGCAAGAATTTCTATCATCACCCTCTACCCTGCTGATGTAGGAACACATCTCATGCTGTCTCCTCACCACATCCACGCTTGTCCTTGTAGGATCACATTATCCTTCCGCCATCCCCTCCTCTGTCGCACTCATCCATCCCTTTCTAAAACAAGGCAGGAGGCGCTTTGATTATCATAATCCAGTTGCAGCTAATTAAGATAGGTCAGGTGCTGGAGTCAAACTCCCTCCGTCCCACTCCGTGCTCTTCCTCCATCATCTCTCTCTTCCTCCCCGTTTGCTTGGACAGCCCTATCAGTGGGTAACATCTCCCCACACCAGGGCCGCCTGTCTGTTCATGATAGCGACTGGCAGTCATCTGCACAGAGGAGAGCAATGTGTTGCCAGCCACTCCGGCAGAGGCAGACAAGAGTGTATTAATGTCTGCTGGAGGCGCGTGAGAGGACCAATTAATTGGTGTTTAAAACGGGGAAAAAATGCATTTGATATACTTAAGCTTAATTAATATAATGCTACCAATTTTCTAAGGCTAATTAATCAAATTCGGGACTGATCTGTAGTGCTGAGATATCCAGATTATGTAGACTGGAAGGAAACCACACTAAACGGCATCCTAAAAGGCAATACCCATGTTTCTAATGCAGAGAGGGCTCAGAAGGAAGGATATGAAAAGACAAAAAAAAAAAGATCAAACACACAGAAAACAGAAAAACACTTAACCAAGTGACATTGAGGCTAAGAACTGAGACAGGACTGAGGATTGATTAGGAGTTGAACAACATGCTTTGTGTACTTGTATTTCTGTTTCTACTGAGCCACTGAAAGAGGCTGCAGTGTTCTGGCAGGAAAGCAGAGAGAGCCACAGAGTAATTGGAAGGGCTATGCTTAGAGGGAAACAGAGGACTTAAGATAGGATGAAGGAGGGAAGGTGGGGGAAAGGAGGGTGCTATTGGAAGACCTATGAAGTAGATGCTTAGAGCCGAGATGTGAAGAAAATAAGCCTGTTGGAAAAGAAAAAAACTCCAGGGACAGTGACCAATGACAAGGATGCTTTTGCCTTTTTCCAACAGATAAGAGACTGACCAGGGGGTTTTCATGTGGCACGCGGGCTAAAACTACAAGCAAAGAAATACGTTTAGCTATATTTCCCTTAACGGCTAAGGTCTAACTTTAATAAATTTTTCTATTTTATTTACTGTTTACTAGAGCTGGTTGATAGCTCATATAACAGTGTTATTTCGTGCCCATAAGTGGGTCTGATCAAACGAAGCAGCGGAGGATAACCATTTAAGATTACTGGCCACAAAGAGCCCAGCTTACAATTCACCTTAAACAGGAGAAGGACATAAAACTATCAGAGAACACTGTGGCTGAAATGAGCACATAAATTGTACCGTCACTTTGTCATGTAAAAGCCTTCGGCAAGACCTTTGAGCATTCTACTGGCATTTTTGCAAGTTAATAAAGATGCCGTGGAACCGTGCCACATTGGTGTTCACCACCTCTCACTCCTCATCACCGCTTTTGCACCCTGCCTTGGCCCTCTGCCCTCGCCCTCCCCCTCAGTTTAGCTAAGCCCCCATGTTATTGGCCAAACACAGCCAGCTGCAGTCAGTTAACTGTCTAATCTCACATCAGTCGATTTCCCCAAACAAGGAGAGGTAGAGAACTGGAACAAAAGTCAAGGAGCGGGGCTGCTGGGTAGAAAAAAAAAACAAACTTAAAGGCAGATTACAGTCTTTCATTGACTCTACAGCACCTCCGCATCTGTGTGCCCGCGTGCACGCACGTGTGCGAACAAGTTCTTCTCCCGGACCTAAATCATACCGCTTGGGGACCACACACAGAGGTAGACAGACAGCCTGTAGCTGGCACTAGAGCGGGGGGGCAGCAGCAAATATCCAACAACAGTGTTATTTTGGGGCAGTTTCTACTGACTGCCTGCTGCCCAACACACCTCCAGCTCCATTTGTCATGCGTCTCGCGTGTAAAAATGTGATCCTTTTGGTCCCTCATGGACAATTAAATAAGAACATTTTCAAAATGACAAACATATGGAGCTTTTAATTGGCCAATTTCTCTTGCCAGCATGTGTGGCTCCGCCCTCATGCTAAAAAACCAATGAAAAGGAAAAAAAATGCTTTCTAGTCAGACATGCATATTGCAGCACAGAGTGTCGCACAAATTGTCATTGTCCTTCTGCAAAGAGTAAAACAGCCCTTCTGTTCCCTGGATTAATAGCACCATTAAAGGCAATCCGTGTTCAGCATACAAGACCATTCTTCTGGGTCCTGTCAGTGCGACGCAAACTTTTAAGTGCAGGTATTTTCAGTAAATTTGACTTTCCGCCTGAACATGTTTGCTTAGCAAAGCACTTCTCTCGTTGAGGTTATAGTGAGAAATTTATCATATCATCTAGTGGAGGACTTTGCCTGACTCTGGCTTCCGCTGACCCCGTGCTAATCACATGAGGTGGCTGGGGGTGACTGCAACAACTCATATCTGGGGAGTTATTGTTCTACACATGTCATGTGTAATCTGCCCGACCCACAGCGCTTCGAATAATTATTCATATTTAATCACCACACTTCGAGGCTACATCGTCTGCCGCTCGCTAAGTCATTTTCCATGTTCCATTATCAAAGTTTCAGAGACGGGTGCTCTGGGAAGGGGGACTAAATGGAAAGGCTGAAGTAGTTGGGTTTATAAAAACATAATGGGCTTGTCTGCTTTGATAAACTGAGGACGTGTACAGAATGCACACACGCTCACACCAACACAAAGACCGCAGTGCCCAGAACAAAGCGGGGGGGAAATAAAGTAGCCCAGTGTAAGTTCCGATTGTGAGTGTTCAGGCAGGCAAAAAAATAAATAAATAAATTCGCCGTTAATATATAAATAACCGCGGCCCACAAAACAAACCAACAGCACATGTGGGCAAAGCGTGCTGGCTCGCACCACATCGTTAATTTCTCATCTGCTTGGATTTGTCAGCGAGGGCTCACCTTGCTCCAGAGGTGGTGGTTTCACGCCGGCGGCCTTCAGCTTGAGGGCTTCTTTGGCAGACATATCGCAGCAGGAGCCTTTGTTGGTGTCTTGGTCGCTGTCGGCCTGGTCGCTGTCACCGTGACCACTGTCTCTGAGGCTGGCTCGCTCAGGGTCTTTGAATGTTGAACTACTAAACAAACAAAAAGACAAGCGACTACTGGTATTAATATGCAGCGTGCTGCTGAGAACTTCAGTCTATACCTCAGAGGAGCTGCAGGCATAAAATGAAACTCAGACAGACGTCTTGAAAAGGAAAAAATATACAAAAGGACATGGAAGGTAATAGACTCTCAATTAAAGACTGCATTGTTTCATCTGTTTGCTATCGATGGAAAAAAAATCTAGTGTGTGAGATTTTATCTATTATGGTTAATACTGTTTGCTACTAATTAAATGAGCATCTTTACTTACTACTTACTACTCATACAAATAACTCTCAGGATAGTTAATCCTGTTGTTAAAGCACTGCGCTGGGTGTACTGAGAAATAGGAGAGAAAAGTCTGAGATATAGTGACTGATTATAGATTCCAACTCTCACCTTTGAACAAACTGTTGTCTGCTACCCATATAACTAGACTCAGTGGGGAAATTGTCCGTCTGTGGAGAAGAAAGAAACAAATGCAGTAAGCTGTGCAGAACTGCTTCCCGCTGTGAAACAAGAATTCCTAGTGACATATGATTAATTATGCAGAGAAAAAAAGGCAGAGGACAGATTAGGGGGTAAAAATAAATAAATTACTGCATTTGTGAGGTTTGAGCATTTCATTAACCACACTGGAGCAGGATAATTAGCCATTGGAGAATAAAGCACAGAGTTAAACATAAGATCTGACAGACATCAGATAATCAATTACTCTTACGACAGCAGTCCTGATGAAAATAGAAAACTTTGTCATTGCTATGCCAAACAGTTTGAAAGACATCTAGTAACCAAAATACAGCAGGAATTCAAAACGCAATTTACTCCTTGTTCCCATCAGAAACGTACAGACTGGATCAATTGAACCATAAATGAGGCACTCCGTCTTTCTTTCTTCCAGTCTGTCTCTTTCTCTTGATAATTATACCAATGTGCAGGCTATTGGAGGTTTTAATCATGCCCAAAGGAGGTAAAAGGTCAAAAAGACCCCAATGTGCTTTCTGCGTTGTGCAGAAATACAAACAGAAAACACCAACTTTACTTTTCTGGGAGCAGAAAAGACAGTTAAAGATAAACTGCGTTTGCTCGGTTCAAAGTAATACCGGATAATAAAACATTTCCCCGCTGCATAAAGGCAGAAATGATGGAAACTAACGTCTTAAAGAGAGATTGCTTTCATGCTGCTGTGGCAGTATTCATCACAGCAACACAAATGATTACCCTATGTTCTGAACAACTCCCTGTCTTGAATCTACAGCGCTGAAATGTCATGTTCGGTGAGTAATGTCTCCTTGTGCCAGGGTTTTTCACATGCACAGCTTGACTCCCAGTCGATGGAGTATTTCAATGTCATCTACGCGCTGTGGCGGCTCAGTATGAAAAAAGGGTGTGCGAAGGTCAACCAGGCCACCTCGGTACTTTGACCTTCCGTGCTTTTGCAAACCCCTTTATTTCCACCTAAACACTTTATTCCACTTCAGTCTTCGACGATATTAAATGAAACCACCCACGGATTATATCAAAGGCTGGAATGTGACCATAAAGCAAGAAAAATAATAAATGTTAGAAATCGTTTGGCAATGAAATGATAACTACTGACAACAGAGCTGTTATACAAAAAGAAAGGGAAAAGGGATGGAAGTTTTTTTCAATAGATGTGCCCCTTCTGTGCTTTTGAGGCCATGTAAGCAACCTTGGACCTTCTCTTAAATCAACTGCTGTGTTAGCACCTATTCTGACCAAGAGGGAAGTCTGAAGTTTTTAGTTTTTTTTTTTTTTAATGGTACATGGTCTGATTCAATTTTTGCACCTGTGAAATAAGTATATTTGTATTACAACAGATTCGAAAAAAAATAAAGCTTCAATTCGATGTATGCGACAGTGACATGGTTTCACTTTAGAGTCAAAGCTATTACTTTTGTCCTGTGTTAAATAGTAGCATGCAGTCTCATCCAAACCATTTGTTTATTTTTTGAGGGGGGAAAAAAATGCATGTTACATTTAAAGTAGCATGCCTTTTACCCCCCGAATGCCAATAAAAAACACATTACACCACTTCATAGAAACCTCTTTCCTGCCAATTAAGAGCCCAGGCTGATCTTAAGCCTCCATCTCTTCCTGTCTGTCTATACTGCCCAGCCCTTTCCTACAATGGGCCACTTTCCAATTAATGGGTCGATAACGGCCAGTATGAACTGCTTTGTACAGAGGCAGTCAGAGCCCACAATGAATACAGGATCATTTGAAGGAGGGTGATAAACTGTGCACAAATTCATTTAGCATCTGTGACACATTTTGTCCTATGATACCAAATTTCACAAAGTGGATCTTCTTGAGCGAACTGAACCGGATTGAAATGGGCCTAAACTCAAAACGACAAAGCCGGTTTAAAAGAAATCATCTCATCTATTGACTGGAGATGTGACCCTTTGACCGTGATGTTTCACAGAAGTGCTGAACTTGTTCAGCTGAAGATAAATCCAGCCACCCGGTGCCAGCCGGGCCCGGTCGGTGTAAGTGTCGGCAGAGCTTCTGTTTGGTTGGTGTGGATGATATTTCCAAAAAGCTTGTTGCTGAAGTGCACTGAATGATGTGTCGTATCTAGTTCATGGAGCAAGGCCGCAAAGGTCGTAGAGATACTGACTACAGTGGGGCTGAGTAAGTGTAAAAAGCTGCACTCTGTTCTGTATTCCCACTGAGGCCCTAAGACTGACCGCTCAGACAGCAGGCCGATTGAGACAAATGGGACGAGAATATTGGAGTGCTATTCTACTCTCAGGGCATGTTGGTGCATTTTGGGCCGGTGTTCATTTCTACGGGGCTATGTGCATCGTTATCTTTGCGTGTGTGTGTGTGTGTGTGTGTGTGTGTATGTGTGTGTCGGTGTGTATTTGATATTTTATGTAGGGATGGTATACGAGGACAAATTGCAGCTTCTCTTTCACACATCATTGGACAGCTCTCTTATATTTACAGGAACAAGGGAGCACCCCCTCCCTCTGCCCATTCTGCCAGACATGATACATGCATTTGTCCTCTACCGTCAACCAGAAAACATACATAACTCTTATTCTGTTTGGATGAAGGCAAGTACGGGCATGGCTTTAAATCAGATGATGTGAGCATTTCCCAATAAGCCGTAATCGTGTGAGTAAGCCACAGATCTCGGTTCTTATGGCAATAATCTGTGCTTCTGCTGTGTATTTATTTGTGGGAGAAATCTCCAAAAAGGCAGATCTGTAAATCCCTTGAAGCAGATGAAAGATGACCAAATACGAATAAATGAAATATGGAAATTGGGAAATTGAGACATAGGAATGAAAACGTTTTTGTGGGAAGAAAGGGAGTGGAACAAAAGCCAGCAGTTACAGACAACAAAAACAGTGGGGGCAAAACGGGAAAGTGAGGGGATGATGAGAGGACTTCAGGCAAAGGGGTGGAAAAACAAGACAACAATTAGACTGCATTGATTATTTGGTGGCTGAGAAGCAATTGTAAGTGATAAGATCTAATTAGCATTGAAACATCTTCCTGGAGATAAGAGACTATTGAATCAAAAGACTTAAGTGGACTTAAGGCCAATACACTGCCTCCTAAGTATCTTCCACTATCTTTCAAATAACTTCGACGAGATCCGGTCCGAAAGAATTTTTTTAAATGTAAGGCGGTGCTACTGATAACAGAAAACAGGGAGTGCCAATTTGAACAGCACTATGGTCATCTCCTTCCTTACAGACAGCCATGCCAATTCTTAACACATTGGCTTCCATCAGCTGTTCGCGACAGCAAAAGCTACAAAAACTGTGTGCAGCACCATAAGGAAAGTCGGAGCAGGAGAGTTTTGAACACTGCCGTTATCTGCCGTTTGTCGTGTCACGTCGGATATTAGATCCCCCTGAAAAGGACACCTCGTCAAGTTAAGAGCCACTGCCACAAAGCGCGCTGATCCATTCTTGTGTTTGCATCTCATATGTGTACCGTTCTGACAGAGGTGCGTTAATTGAGTCTGTCCTGGTAACACTGCCATCGTCAAGTGAAATGGAAAGGGGGGGGGGGCAAAGCTTATTTAGACGTGACAGCGACATGTTCACTCTCTGACAATTAACACAAAAAAGTGATTGTCTCCAACGAACCCTGGAGACAGACTACTGGAGGAAACGTGTTACGCCACCAGGAACCTGCCAAAGTAGTCAGTAACACATCATCTGTAGATGTTTTTATGTCACCAACACCTCAAAGTCGCCATTACAAAAATAAATAGGAATAGCACTATACAGCGGCTGTTGTTTTTTAGTTTTTTAATTGAAAATTAAAAAGTTGTGCAACAGTGGCACAAAAAGTGTTTGTAGAGTTCTAATTCTGAAGTGCAATTGAAATGGGGCACCCAGCATACGCTGAATGTGTCACAAAGTCTGAGGGGTTTGGTTTAAGGGACCAAAGAGTGGAAACAGCTACAATCAGAAGTGCATCATTGATGGAAATAGCAGGAACTAAAACTGAGATTCAATAGACAAAATAATTCAAACAACATATGACAATGCAAAACTCTCTCAGACCTATATCCCCCGAGTGCAAACGAGTATAGATGTGAAAGTGACACAAGGCACAGCATGAACCAAGATGCATACTCTGAAAACCTGTGTAAAATCCAAATAAAAATATGTATTTTGCTATACTGGAAATCAAATACATGAAGGCTCTTGACACAGGTCTGTTGTGTTGTGTTATGTGATATTTATCTGAACCACAAAGCTTACATTTAAACTGTCCATATAGCTTATTCTTCAGAGTAAGATTCACTGGCTACAAGTCAATGTTAAGTGCTTTCCAAATTATTACTCATTGCTCTCAGCTTCCAAATATGCTGTGCTGAGATGCGGACTCCATCATTCCCTGTTGCTTGGTATCTTTGAGGTATATCATTTAGCTGCAGTCTCGACTCCATTCCCTTTTTTTCGGGATAGATGACAGTGTGCAGATAAGCAGGCCCTTTAAGCAGAAAGATCTGCTGCAGTGAGTCAAAAGCAGAGCTGATTTTTCTCCCATGCCACAATGTTTTCGTCCCATGCCGTGTAATGAGTCACGTAAAGGATCTTTCCTACTGACACTGCTGAATCTCTGTGCAGCATCTCTAATTGCAGTGAACTCAACGTGACAACAAACAACAAATCCAATGCAGTTCAGTCTTAAAAAAAAAAAACTTGCCCACGGTATGTGTGATTGTGCTGTTGCTGCTTTGGAAATATCTCCACCCCGTATCTAATGAAATTACAGCTGGGCTTTTTGCAAAACGTCTAGTTTATCAAAAAGCTAGAAATTCACGAAGCTCTTAACCAACTCAGTGATCTAATTTTTTTAGCCATGATTTCAGAATTTAAAGAGACGTGCGTCTCTCTTGTCTTTTTGGTTTGCGTTTGTCTGTGTGGCCATTCATGTTGTCTTGTTGACTAATTGCACT